CTCTCAGGTGTTGTCTCTCTCTCAAATAAATAAATAAATAAATTAAATAAAATTAAAAAAAATTGAGATTTAAAAAAAAAAAAAATAGTTCCAGACCTGTCAGACATCTTTTTAAGTCAAAGAAAATAAAGGATCAAACTCAAGGAACAGATACGCTATTAATTGGGATTCAGAAATGGGAGAGCTAGTTCATTCAAGGTATTCCTTTAGGAACTCCATCGAACTGTCCTTCACTTTTTATATCTACCTCTTTTACTTTCCCATCCTGAAGCTGCAGAGCTGTTGGATCATTTGGCATATCTCCAATCTAGTGACGAGATAAGTGCGAATCCAGGGCTGTGGGTTGTCCTACTGTGTCCTTCTTAGTTTCCTAGTAGTTAAATTCTATACTTAAAAGGAAATACTAAATGTGACCACTTTTTATTTGCTTAGAAACATTTTCTCCTTGCCTGCTTTTTCAAAAGTATATTTGGGTCACTTACAAGAGGAGAAAGGAGTAGAATTATAATGGTTATGTGCAGTGGCATGAGATTGTCTGGAAGCATGAGACCCTTGCCATCAGTTAAGGGTGTCTGGGTAGGTTGGCTTCATAGATTCTCTTTGCTTCCGTTTCTGCATCCTAGAGGTGGAGATACTGTCTACCTCAGAGTCAGATGAAATACTGCATGTAAAGTGTTTTGCACAGAGTATTCATTCAATAACACTGGCTTTTATTTTTTAGGAATCATTCTCATATCATAACTAGACTTTTTCTAGTTATTATAATAAAAATTCTAGTTATTCTTATCGGGAATCAGCTGTAACTTTAAATATGAAATAAAGGGAAATTCCTCTCTCTTTGGAAATTGCAGACCAACTGAAGTAGTACTTGGCAGAAGTATAAGGAATTGCTATAGGAAAGGAGACATTTTGGAAGATCTGTATTTTGCCAGTGATTAACATGTTTCCTGTTCTTGTATAGGCATTGAAATGGTGTGGAAGAATGATACTATAATCTCACCTTGGAATATCCATTTAATAATAAGTAACAGGGATAAAGTGAAGGAGATTATTAATAAGTATGCCTCATTTTAAATTTTATACAGTAGTTCTAGCTTTGAAATGCAAAAGAAAATAGGGGCGCCTAGCTGGCTCCGAAGAGCATGAGACTCTTGATCTCGGTTGTGGGTTCGAGCCCCATATGGGGTGTAGAGATTATGTAAATAAAACTTTAGGAAAAAAGAAACGCAAAAAAATAAAGCACACTTTTTTATATTTGCAGCACCTCGCAGAATCATGTTTACTGTTTATTTTTTCTTAAAAAAAAAAGAAACTTAACAAGCAACAAGGAAAGGGTGATAAAGAGCATATAGCAAAAACAATAAACTTCACTCAAAAGAATGATAATATTCAGAACTTCTTATAAGTTATGAATTACTTCTTTGTCATAGAAATAGGTCATAATATATTGTAACAACATCTATATCAATCTGATGCTGTCTCTTCAAATTGAGTCCTTTTTTTTTTCATTCAAAAGACTAACCTACTATGACCTTGTAGGTTCAGGATAAATTCCGACTAGACCTGTCTGATGAAGAGGCAGTACATTACATGCAGAGTCTGATCGATGAAAGTGTCCATGCTCTCTTTGCTGCAGTGGTAGAACAGATTCACAAGTTTGCCCAGGTAAGTTCTCTGAAGGCAGTGCAATTGATCACAGCTTTTCCATGTCCTACCCCAGAGTCCTCAGAGAGCCATGCTTTTCTCCTGCTAATGATGTCTTCTCTGCGTTTTATCAAGCCTTTTTGACATCAGCCAGCTGATGTGAATGTGTTGCATACATTATTAACTCTAAAACATCCCACTTAAATTTTCAGTTGTAAACTAAATTGTGGAGTGTTAGCATAGGTATATCTGTCCTTTGTAGTTAGTGGTGATTGTAAATCTTTCCTGAGAATGGTCTTGGGTCTAACAGAGGCCTTGGCGAGTGAGACTTGAACACTTTCTGGGTTTTGACAAATGGTGAAATGCTAGGAAAGTTTCAGTAACTCATAATATAGCGGTATGCAAGACACTGACAAGAGAACAATATGGGAGTCAAAAGATTTGGGTTCAAGTCTTGGTTCCGTCCCTTGTTAGTCACATGACGTTAGCGAAGTCATTATCCCATTCTGGGTTTCTATCCCCTATTACTCCAGAAGCTTTAGAAGCTGAAAAAAGCTGTGCATACCACACACTGAAAAGGTCTATCTGTAGACTTACTGTTAGTAGAATCTTGCATGCAAATGTCTGAGGGAGACCTTTTCACACTAGCCTATGGTGGTAAACCTCAGGTTTAAAACCTGGTTTAATTATGAATTTCATAATGAGGATGATTATGAAAATGGTGAGCAAACAGAAAAATTAGACCTCTTTCCCTCCCACACACTCACACTCTTCTTCTTGCACACACCTTCCTGATTTTGCATATCCTGTTAATAATTTTACTAATCACCCAAGCTCAGAGCCTGTCTGCTTTGCCTTCTTCTTCACCCAATACCACTGTCACCAAGCCTTGTCAGTCTTTTTAGTTTAACCATTTCTTTAATTATCCTTTTCAATAATTTTCTGACTACTAATATTTTAATCCATTTTTTGTTCTTTAATATATCTTGGATAACTAAAACCCTTTATAATTCTTCTGTTTTAGTTTTTTTCTTCTCTAAGCATTTTTTATCCTTCTAAATATCCCAGTCAGTTATATTTTCACAAAATAATGTTTCACCTTGTCCTTTTTATTTTTTTAAATTTCAGTGTGCACAATGTTTCCCCATTGCCTAACAGTGAAGTCCAATCTCTGGTAGCCCAAGGCCTTCCAGAGTATTGTATTCCAACCTACTTTCCAAGGTGTTTCCCTAATACTCTCTCTGCATATTTTGTTCTTTTCTGTCTCTGTGATTACTTTGCAGCTGCCATTTCTTCAGCATAGAACATCCATCTTCTTAACAATGAATCTTTTGTAAACTTCTGCTTACCAAATCCAAGCTGTCCTCCAAGATCTATTCTTAATGCCACTTTGATTGATCTTCCTCTGGATATTTATAGTACTTTTACCTTTATTATGAGTTGCACTTATATTTTGCTTTCTATTATAGATGCTTGAGGATACTTGTCTTATAACTCCTAAAATACAAACTTCTTGAAGATGAAGCTGTATCTGTTACTCACCTATTAGCACAGTGCCTTATCTACTTAAAAAATACCCAAGAGACATAAAGGAGTTTCTTCCTGTAAATGTTAGCTTATCCTCTTTTTCTGGCTTAACAAAAAGTTTCTTCTCCCAGAGCACCAGTTTGGGTCATATTTTATTGCTAGGGCCAATCAGGGTCTGCTTCCCAGGTTATTAAATCCTAACCAGTCACTTCTCAAGAGAATAAACCATCCCAGATGGTTTGTCTAGCTAATGGTAGAGCTGAGTTTCCATATAGCACAGTAGAGTATTTTGGAGCAATAGGGGATAGAAACCCAGAATGGGATAATGACTTCGCTAACGTCATGTGACTAACAAGGGAC